AGTGCAGATTTCGTGGCAGGTACAGCACTTTGTGAACCTCAAAGTGCAGATTTCGTGGCTGGTGCAGCACTTGGCGAACCTCGAGGTGCAGATTTCGTGGCAGGCACAGCACTTTGTGAACCTCGAAGTGCAGATTTCGTGGCAGGCACAGCGCATGTTGAACCTCGAAGTGCAGATGTCGTGGCAGGCACAGCGCTTGGTGCAGATTTCGTGGCAGGCGCAGTACTTTGTGCTCTCAGATGCTCACTCGCTCACTCTCCCACTTTCACTCACACTCACCTCTCACTCACACTCGCACTCACACTCACTCTCCGACTCCCAGTCACAGCCACACTCCTCACACTCACACCCACCTCACTCTCCCACTTGCAGACTCTCATTCGCTCTCACTCACACTCGCGCTCGCACTCACACGCACACTCACTCACTCTCACACTCACTCTCACTCACACTCGCTCACTCACTCTCACCCACACTCACTCGCGCCCACCTTCACTCTCAGTCACACTCACACTCTCACTCTCATTCACTCACTCTCACTCTCACTCTCACTCTCACTCTCTCACTCTCACTCTCTCACTCTCACTCTCACTCTCTCACTCTCACTCTCACTCTCACTCTCACTCTCACTCTCACTCTCACTCTCACTCTCACTCTCACTCTCACTCACTCTCGCACTCACTCACCCACCTTCAGTCTCACAGTCACTCTCACTCTCCCTCACACTCATTCTCACCCACACTCACTCTCACTCACACTCGCACTCACTCACCTCACTCCCCCACTCTCATTCGCACACACGCACTCACACCCACATTCACTTCATCACCGCCATCACCTCTCTGGACCCCAATGCGTCTAGATCTCTAGACTTTCTGCTTACAGACCTCACACACACTGTTTGGGGTCTCTTGCCTTGTGATTATTTTTTCTTTTACAGAAGGCGTCACCGACGTGGAACCGAGATCAGCAGATTTTGTTGGTCCGATGATCGTTTTAAAGGCAACAAAGATGCCTTGAAGGAACGCTCCTGACACACCGGAACAGAGACATTTTTGACATGATATATATATATATATATTGAAATTGGTCGGTATTCAATCAACCCAACAATAGCCCCGATGGTGTGAATTTGCATCCAATGATGCGAAACATGGCATCACAAGCGATTTGCCGGATTTTTGATCCCAAACATTTTTTGTGGTATATACATGCTTGAGACACACACACACACACACGTCTTCTCAAACCATGGTCCATTTGAGTCCGGGCTCCGAGTCCCGTGTCGCGAGAAAGGGACCGGAGACGAGGGCGAGTAGATAAACGACCCACTTCCGCCGACGGTCTCCAAGGATTTCAGAGTAGATAAACCAAAACTGCAAGAGTAGACGACCGTAAAAGATAGGCTGAGAAGATAGGCAGTGGGCCATCAGAGTAGATAAACCACAAAACAAAATGACTGTAAAAGATAGGCTCCATCAAAAGCACCAAACTTGGGGTCACTTGCGTTCGTCTCACTCCGGGTCCACGGTCTCGCGCCTGTCCACTCGGTTTTCTCTCGAAGTCTTCAGACCTGGAGACGACTCGGTTTGGTCCGTACGAAGTCAGACCTGCCATGCGTCGACGGTACGGAAGGAAGCGTTGTCTGAACGAATCGTTTTGAGGTTTGAACAAGGCTTTAGACCAGCATAGTATTCTTGAAGACTCTTGCAACAGTTCTACTTGAAGGACTTGATCTCTCATTGCATTCTCACAAAACAAGACAGACAACTTTTTTCTCAGAAAAGAGTTGAGAAGTAGCTAATTCTGGACACCAAGCTCCTGTTTAGGCATCGCATTGCTTACAAGCAGTTTCCAAAGCAGTTTCTAAACACCACCACTATCTAGACCACAACTGTTTTGGCCAATAGCTTCTTGAAAGATGCGCCAGGACATCCCAGGACAATATATTCGAACAAGGTTCGCTACGAACGTAACAAAGGGCATCGCTTCCGTTCGTAGCGATCGGACGCTACGAACGGGGCGCTCCTGGCGTTACTACGAACGGAACAAGGTTCGCTACGAACGTCACGTGAGGACCGTCTTGTTGGAAAAGATTCTTATGAAAGAACGCGAAAAGCGAACCAACGTGAAAGCCGCTCGAAGTG